ATAAAATAAAATAACAACGCAGCTTCCAAACCCAGCCTGAGTCAGGGAGTCCCGACACAGCAGCCAGAGTCAAAATCCAGAATGACTGCCTAGGCCTTAGAGCTTTGGTGTTTCAGTTGACTCAGACATGCTGTAAATCTGTGTAAGGGGTGAGGGGGAAACAAAAGCTGGCCCCCTGAATAACTCTTCCCCAAGGGGCATAGAGAAGCTTTCTTTTCCTTGCAGAATCCTTAATCATGTCTCCCAAATAGGAGTTTTCCATGCAACTGCACAGATGTGAAAAAGGGAGAGACTAAGGAGAATAGACATGTCTTGGTCCTGAGGATGTGATAGTTGAATGGATGGCCAAGATGTCTCTCCCACATATCTTCTGAAATGTTTAGAATTTCCCAGGGATCTGTCCTTGCCCCTGATCTGATGAATGTTGTTATCAGTCAGTTGGATAAAACACAGAAAGTAAGCCCACCAAAATAGTTGAATGTTACAGAGGTGAAAGGGAGTTTGGGAACAATTATAATTTTTAAATGATTTTGGCAGGCTGTGGGGCACTGAGTTGATCACAGTAAGTTGTAATTTATTAGGGGCAGTGTTAAAACCTGTACTTCAAAACCAAAAGCAGAAGTACGGGTTAGGAAAGGATTAAATTGACAGGGGTTTTATACAAAAAAAAGTTGTAGGATCTTATGGGACTATAAGAAAGGTATGAGTCAATAGTGTGACGTATTTGTATTTTAGAAAGGAAGTTAGGGACCAAAAAAAAAGGAACGTAATCTTTCTACTTTACATAACTTACACAAGTTGAAAAATACTCAGTGGGTTGTATTCAGTGTGGGCCAAATTTAAGAAAGATATTGACTAAATGGAATTGGTTACTAAGGGAAGGAAAGAAAAGGTAGGGCTGAATTTAAAGGATCCCCAAAACTATATTGTTTAAAGAACGGTTGAGGGAAAATAAGGATATTCAGCTATTCTTTTAGAGTTGCCCTACAGAAGAGGACAAGTAAACTTGTCTATTTTGCTCTGAAAATCAGAAATGGGATTAATGAGAGTTCATGGAAACAGATTTTGGCTCAATACAAGGAAAATTTTTCAAATAATTAGAGCAGTTCCATGACTATTTCACTAAATTGTGAGTTTCCTGTCACTGGAAATATTCAAGCCGAGGCCAGATGAGTGTCTGGGATTCTGAGGGCTTCTAGCGTTGAATGAGAGCTTAGGGTAGGTGACCTTTAAGACCACTTTCAGCTCTCTTAGTCTGTGATTTAAGTAAGCATGAATGCCAAGGCCGCTTATGACATGCCAGAGCTACTTTTTCAACTCTTGGCTCTGATTCTGACCAGCTGTGTGACCTTCGGCTAAGAAATTAACTATTTTTTGTTCCAATTTCCTCAGCCATAAAATGAGGGATCTGGATTTAATGATATCTAAGTTCTCCGCAACTTCATAATTACAGCATGTTGGAAAAGTAGAGTTGGAGCTGATACCTGCCATTTTTCTAAGTCAGCTTACACGGAGAAGACTTAACAAGCAAAGGCCATTGTTGATTCTGGGGACCATTGGACTAAACTCTCAGTTGCTTGTTGGCAGGAGAGTGGACGATTGTGATCCTGGGATTTGTTCTCATGAGATCTGTGGCAGGAAGTTGATCAAATAACTGATAATCCGGTTTCTCTCAAACACCTGTACATTCTGGCTGAGTTCAGCGATGCCTTTGCAAAGAACTTAGAAGAAATGAAGGTCACATTACTATTGCAATACAGTTCTGTCTCTTACAAAGCACACCTTTGTTCTTCATTTCCTTAATGATCTGGCAGTTGCTGTTGAGCTTGGCTTACAATAATAAGAACCAATATCCAAAGAACAACTTGCTATGTGGCAGATACTGTCCTAAAAGTTTTGTATAAATTAATTTACCTAATCAGTTTATAACCTGAAAATCTAATGATGAATCAGTAGGTTAGATCCTTTTTTCCCCTATGGTCAAGGAGTAGTTAAAATGCAGTTTAAATCTATCCTAATGGTAGAGAGTCCAGAATTCAGATCCCTGCCCTCATTCTTTCAGGCTTCATTGCTGGTGTTCAATTACTATAATTTCCTGTGTGGTTCATTTGATTACTAACCCTTTTCTTCTCTGCCTGTATTAAGGTGCTTCATCCACCACTACTATATTCCAGCTCCCCGTTTTCCTCTTGGACTTCTCTCTGACTCCCACATCATTGTCTCCACATTCCATTTCTTCAGTTACTTTTTCCAGAAGTTTTTGAAAACACAACTATAGTGGGAATGCTATAGTTTGCTTCGATAGAGTAATAGAAGGTAGGAGTAGGATTTCAAATACCTCCTTTGGTTGCTGAGGTTAGTGGGGGAAGAAATAAGTAAATTTATGCTTTTGGTAAAGACATGAATTTAAAACCTTATTCTGAGGTTCGCAGGTCTGGCAGTGCTCACTCCATCCAAGCACCACATTTTCTTCCATGTCTTTGTTTCCTGAGGTTGGAAATGAAAACAGCTGTTAAAAATAAGAGCTCATGAGTCAATCTTGAATCTCAGTGTAGCAATTACAGTTTCCATCTCTGTTGGTAAAGTCCCTCCCAGTGTACTGAGCTCCATATCACAGCCCCCTTGTTGTCAATTTTATACCAAGACTTTAATTTGTGTTTTCCAAGCCTCAAAGATTAAACACTAAATCATTTGCCAAACCAGAAAAAATAACAAGGAAGAAATACATCAATTTAAAAACTTGATTCTCAGACATGCTCTTTTTCTGATTTAGAGCTCGAGCAGAACTCTATGTCAATATTAGAAATGTCAGTTACTGTCCCACATTTTTGAAGGTGGAACTTCTGGGCTTTGTGGTATCCTCACTGTGGAGAATTTTGCTTGAACTCTTTTTCATTAAAAAAAAATTTTTTTTAAGTGTTTATTTTTAAGAGAGAGAGAGGTGGGTGGTGGTGGGAGAGGTGGAATGGGGATGGGGGGAGGGACAGCGAAAGAAGGGAGGGACAGTAGATCCAAAGTGGGCTCCACGCTGACAGTGGGGCTCAGACTCAGGAACCATGAGATCATGACCTTAGCCGAAGTTGCACACTTAACAGACTGAGCCACCCAGGCACCCCTGCTTGAAAATCTTATCAAGGCTAGCCTTGAATTGTATTTTCCCTTTTCCAAGTTCCTGAGGCTTATGACCTCGTAAGTAAATCTCAATGTAGTCATCTACAGCCTATTAATTGATTGTCACCTTCTGGAGCACATTGATCCTTTTTTAGTTCAGCCTCGTCCCACTTAGCAACCATTCATTCCTTGACTGAGTAATCCCATTGTCTGAAGCTCCGAATGTCCCCAGTGAATCAGCTGCCTTGAACTGACCGATCTGATTTGCCCTATAAAGGCAGATCATATGCTGTTAGCAACAGAGCTTCATGTTCTAGAGGAGAGGCTGGAGGCAAGAGACTTGGCCCTTTCAGTCACTTCATTTTGCCTTATTTCCCCTAAGATTTGATTTATTTACTGTTCTATTCTTTATTATTAAATTATTTATAAAATTTATTCCCCTGCAAAGATTTTTATAATTCTGTTATCATTGTATCCTCTAACAGATATTTTGTGCATTGAAAATTGCCTCAGTCGTTTGGGCTGCTATAACAAAAATACTGTAAGTCCAAGATCAAAGCACCCGCAGATCCAGTGTTTGGAGAGAGAGCCAAAAGCCGGGGAAGAGCTCTCTTCTTATAAAGGCACTAATCCCATCATGATAAGGGCAGTAATCCCAACATACCTTTGTGACCTGATTACCTCACAAAGGCTCTAGCTGCAAATATCATACTGGGGATTAGGGTTTCAACATATGACTTCTGGGGGACACAAACCATTCAGTCCCTCGCAGAATTTTTGCATTCGTGGTGTGATTTGTGGAATTCTGGGAAGGCTGTTGAGCCCCTGCTTCCTCGACTACACTTAAAATCCTGCATTAAACATTACCTCTCAGATATAACACCTTTTAAAATCTAATCTGTTTGGAAGGGCAAAACCATAAAACTAATATGTGAGGTAGTATAGCATAGTGCTGGCATAGCATAGTGTATTCTGACTGGGATCAGAATACCTGAGTTCACCCGCTTGCTAGCTGTATGACCTTAAGCAATTAATTAATCTTTCTGGGCTTTTGGAGCATCTGTATAGTCGACATGATAATAGCACTCACCTCACAGGTTTTTTGGGTTTTGGTTTTTAAATTTTTTTTAGTCTTTATTTATTTTTGAGAGAGAGAGAGAGCACAAGCAGGGGAGGGGCAGAGAGGGAGACACAGAATCTAATGCAGACTCCAGGCTCTGAGCTGTCAGCACAGAGCCCGATGCGGGGCTCGAACTCATGGACCGCGAGATCATGACCTGAGCCGAAGTCGGATGCTCAACCGACTGAGCCACCCAGGCGCCCTGTTACCTCACAGGTTTTTGTAAGGTTTCAGTGAAATGTGTAACATGTTTAGAAGAATAGTATCTTGCTATATAAAGTGTTAGAAACTGTCATCCTTTATTTGCATAAATCAGCATATTTGACAGCAACTTGATAATAAGTCACAAAGAAATCGGAGTTTTGTTCAGGGAACTGGGAGCGGATACTGTGGATACCAGAGGCCCTGGTAAAGAATGGTCTGCCTTAGTGAGGTGCTACGGTTGGAGGCATAGAGCCACTAGGTGCCTAGGTGCCCAAGGGAAAGATTTATAAGAGAGAAACAAATGGGGCTAGATCTGCTTCTAGTCCTAACCAGTATGCCCAGTAACTGATGGAATTAATCAGCTGCTATGGTGGTGAGCAAGCAAGGAGACACACATCTGCAGATGAACTTTGAATTCAGGATCTGCTTCATTTTTCTGTGTCTCGTAATTCTATCCCTCGTAATATTCAGGTAACATTAGGTCTCTGAACCATGACACTCGAAGAACCATGGTAAACTGTAGAAGTATTTTTCTTTGCTAAGTGCCCTTGCCTCTTTCTTTTAGATTACATGAAGCAGACGACGTTTGAAGCCCAAGCCTTTCTAGAAGCTGTGCAGTTCTTCCGGCAGGAGAAGGGACACTATGGCTCGTGGGAAATGATCACTGGGGATGAAGTCCAGGTAACATGGGCTCAGAATTTGGGGTTCTCTTCTCCGTCTATGTGTAGGAGGTCAGGGTCAGGATAAATAACCACACACAAAAAAGTGGAAGATGTGGTTCCGAAGGCCGTTTCTCTCATTGTCTAGATGCATTTGATCCACAGAGTATTGGGCACCGTCTGCAAACACCTCCAGACCAGGAGCAAAACAGGACAGTATAAAAACAGGGCAACCGCAACGAGGAGCTTCCATTATTTTCTAAAAAAAATTTGTTTTAATGTTTATTTTTGACAGAGACACAGAGCATGAGTGGGGGAGGGGCAGAGAGAGAGGGAGACACAGAATCCAAAGCAGGCTCCAGGCTCCGAGCTGTCAGCACAGAGCCCGATGAGGGGCTCGAACCCATAGACCGCGAGATCATGACCTGACCTGAAGTCGGACGCTCAACCGACTGAGCTACCCAGGCGCCCCTCCATTATTTTCTATTCTTTTCTTTACAAAGCATTATTCTTTCAAATGACCTCATACTTCCAGACCACAATCCAACACGAGCAGTGTGGCATAGTTCAAAGTGTGTGATGGGGGCTTAGGTCAACCTACTTGGATTAAATCTTGCCAACTTATTTAACCTCTTTTAGTCTCAAGTTACTCCTCTGAAAAAAGAGAGTAATGATAATGTTTGCCCTGCAGGGTACTGAGCATTAAGTGAGACGTTGTTGGAAAACTATTTGGCACACGCACTTGTCTTTATTTACTGAATGATTTATAAATGAAGTCAAAGAAATACATTTTAAAAGCATTAAGACAGTTTTCTGTGCGTTTTACTTACCTCTTCTAGTTTTCTATCCTCTATAGTCTGATATAATTTTCCTATGACCTTGGTTAAATGCCAGTCATGGGCTAAGCATGTCCATTGGCTTGGTACCAGGGACGTTGTTACAAATCTCCAAGGAAACTGTGTCCATGAGGACACCAATCACACAGCTGATTCAGCCAGGAAGAGGAGAGTGGGAACGGCGTTATTTAATTAGGGGCACACAGGGTCCAACAATGCTGTTCTTTAATTTCCCCTCATTTCCCTGAGTGCCTCTTTTGGGGGCCAGTGAAATTTGTTATTAGGAGACCAGATGAGGCCTTGCCTTCGTATGGTCATTAAACATCTGAAGCCGAAAACATTTGATCGTGATGATGGGGCTGTTCTTTATTGTTTAACCATATGACTTCTTCTTTCCCACCCACCCCTGCTTTGGTGGATTCTAAACTCATTTATTTCTTAGCTTGAGACTTATTCCAGAACTTTGGCTAACTCTTGGTTTCTGATGTTTGGGGGAAGTATATCCATTCGTCAATCTGAGAGGACTAAGGACTAACCGTACTTATACCATAAAGAAAAATGAAAGCAAAAGGGGAGGCTGAAGCACTTGACGCTGATTGGCCTGCCAAATAAACCAACATATTTAGTAGATATACCAGTATTTTTTTTTTCAACGTTTATTTATTTTTGGGACAGAGAGAGACAGAGCATGAACGGGGGAGGGGCAGAGAGAGAGGGAGACACAGAATCGGAAACAGGCTCCAGGCTCTGAGCCATCAGCCCAGAGCCTGACGCGGGGCTCGAACTCACGGACTGTGAGATCGTGACCTGGCTGAAGTCGGACGCTTAACCGACTGCGCCACCCAGGCGCCCCCGATATACCAGTATTAAAATGCCTTTGTGTAATACTTTTTAATGTTCAAATCCTAATTCTGTGTGTTCATTTTATCGATCTCATGAGGTTATTAGGATTTCCAATTTTGTAAATGAGAAAACCAAGGGAGGTATATAGCAGTGAAGTGACTTGTCCAGTTTTATTCATTAAATAGCTATTGAGCCCCTCTATGCCAGGCACCATGCTGGGGCTGGTGATCCAGAGATGGGCACGACAGGATGGTCCCTGCCCTGTGCAGCTGATACTTTCATGCTCCCATGCTAAGTGGACAGATGGCAAAGGAAATGATGGCTTCCGATTCCTGGTCCAGTGAAAGATCAGCACCAACCATGGGGCTATACCAAGTTCAACATTTACTTAACTCCTCAAGTTTAGCTATGCTATTTGCTTAATCTTTTCATTTAGAATCTCATGTCAGCTCACTTCTTTCTCGATGCCATTGAAAACAGGTACTTAATGAAACCTTTCTTTGGATTGAGTTGACTTTCTGTTTTTTTGCTTTGGGTTGATTTGTGCTAAGCGCTAGAAGGTGCAAGAGAAGCAAATGACTCATCCCTTGCCCTTGTGGTGAGGCAAGACATACCTAGAAACATCCCCAGAACGAGGCAGCCTTAGAAGTGTATGTGGGTAGACATGTGGGTCTGTACATATATGGACATCATAAAGCATTGGCAGCCAGCAGTGATAGGAAGGTGCTAATTTTGCAGTATAAAAAATACCCTAAGTAGGAAAGCAGAACAACACAAAACAAAAACAGAGACGAGATCAGTAAAAGCTGGAGTTATCAAGTGACCCAATAAGAAATTTTGCTCCCCCAGGAATCTGAATATCTATGGTGAAGTTAGACAATGTGAGCACCGGAAAGGCATTTCAAGGATTGTTTGTCCAAAACCCTCCAGTTGAAAGAATGTTCAGAGAGGTTGGCTGAAGTCACAGTGCCAGTCTGTGACAGAAAACCCATTTCGAGCCACATCAGGCTCTCCTTCAAGAAGCTGGAGAAAGGAAATGAATTCCAAAACCTTCCTGTCTGGGGCCTAGCGGGGGTCCGCCTCTCTGTAACCTCACATATGAAGCCAAAGCAGCATCTGTCCTCAGACTCACAGGAAAAAGAGGTCAGGGGCCCAGAGAAGCTATGTAGTTAAAGAAAATGGCATGACGTAACTGAGTTTGAGAATATGACATCTTCTGTTTAAATTTTTTTAATGTTTATTTATTTTTGAAAGAGAGAGCAGGGGAGAGGCAGAGAGAGGAGAGGGAAACATGGAATCTGAAGCAGGCTCCGGGCTCTGAGCTGTCACCACAGAGCCCCACACGGGGCTCAAAGCCATGAACTACAAGATCATGACCTGAGCCGAAGTAGGATGCTTAACCAACTGAGCTTCCCAGGCGCCCCTGGCATCTTCTGTTTATTTTATTATTATTTTTTTAAATATGTCAAATTGGCTTCCATACTGACATCTTCTGTTTAAAGCACTGGGTTTATTTGCATTTTTTTCCTGTCTGCTAAGCACTTACTTGATCATCATTTTGTCGTCACCCCCCTCTAACCTCATGGCCTGGTATTCAGATGTTCAGCATTATTACATTATTATCTTCATAGTAATGACTCACACAGCAAGTCTGGTGGGCCCTCATGGCAGTGGTGATTTTTTAGGCAACTGCCGAGGCAAAGCAAATATCTTAGGATAACTTGCCTACAGACTATTAAGGTGAAAATATTTATATACTAGTAAAACCGTCAATATATATCCTACTTGTCTTTAAAAAATGTATCAAATGAAGTCCTGAAGGAAAGCATTTTGCAAGATGTAAAGCATTTACAGTGATTTGGTATATTTATTATTTATTGTAGCAATATATTTATTTAATAAATATATCTTTATTATTTTTTTTCAATGTTTTTTTTTTATTTATTTTTTATTTTTTTTTGGGACAGAGAGAGACAGAGCACGAATGGGGGAGGGGCAGAGAGAGAGGGAGACACAGAATCGGAAACAGGCTCCAGGCTCTGAGCCATCAGCCCAGAAACTCACGGAGCGCGAGATCGTGACCTGGCTGAAGTCGGACGCTTAACCGACTGCGCCACCCAGGCGCCCCTATTATTTTGTAATTATTATTGTAAATTTAAATTTGCCTTTAAATGAACCAGATGAGCTGAGAAAATAGTTCATAGTTCCCACAGAACAGGTGGTTTCAAGACAAGAAAACTGTCCACGTTTTAGGCCTTCTCCATACATTTCAGGGTTGTCTTTTGTCTAATGACCTCAAACGTGCCCCTTTTAATGGATTCTTTCACCCATGGCCTCTCAGCAACACAAAAGGCACAAGGCCGACAGCCTGGTCAGACCATCAGGCCAGTCTCAGGAAGGAGGGCAGTCTCTCTGGATCTCACACCTTCCCCACATCTGGAAGGTAACACATGGTGTGGTTGATTTTGAACAACCTAATGGCATGTTTGATTTCTTATATGTGTGATGGAATTTTAAAATCTGTATATCCTAGAAGTTAAATTTACACACACACACACACACACACACACACACACACACACCATTTTTTTTTTAAGCAAAAGTGGTATTTTTAGGGCCCTTATGGTGAGACCCAGTGGATCCTGTTCTGAAGAGAGAGGTTGAGGAACCCCTTCATTAGCACAGTTTATTTATTAAAGTAGCTACTTTCCCTAGAACAGCCCCAGAACTTTGGACCCTGCTCATGGAGAGCTGACCCAGGTAGGGAATCTCAGAGAAGGCCCTGGGAAGCTGAGAGGCAGCACAAGGATGGAGGGTGGGGCTGAAGGTTAGGGGAAGAGGGGGACTCGGTGTTGGGATGGACACAGTTGGGCCCCAGCACTCTGAGGCTCTGCCTTGCCCTGTGACTTGTCAAGCCCCCCACCCCTGCAAACCACTCCTATTCTCCTCCTGCCCCCCCCCCAGACATATTTCCTTTTCAATTCCCTAAACTATAAAATAGAACTGAATGTCTTGGAATATTATATGGGAAAGACTAAAAGAAAACTATAAACCTACCCAAATAGATGATTTTTTTTCCCTTTGGCCTTTGTAACATTTTGATCTTTTCAAACCCCTCTCATGCTTATGTTCAGACTCAAACCAGTCTCTGCAGAAGGGTGAAGCAGGCAATTATTATGACCCTGAATGTAACACTTTCAACTAAGATAATATTTCCCATTGTTTTTAAGTTCTGGCTTTGGTCTCTTTATTTTCTTAGCTCCTTCTCCCTATGCTACATTTTCATCACTCTTGGGAAGATGTGTTCCAACTAAGGACTTACTCCATTGTGCAGGATGGGGGGGGGGAGGGTCAATGGATTATTAACTACCTACTTGAATCTAATTGTTGGATCTCCTCAACTCCATGGAGCTTGCACACGTCAAGTTCCTTGTAAATTCCTCAAAAATTCTAGTTCACCTCGTGACTGCTCCCAAAGAATGACTAAGAAAGAAAAACATCTCCACCGATGAATCACAAGAACTAGCAGAAATCCTGTCTCCATTATAATCTTTGTCATACCATGAATTTCAATATTTCAGGTGACAGGAGGCCCACTCCCTGCACTGACCTGAGCAGACTTCTCTCCTAGGAACCCACAGGCACAGGGGGACTGGACGGCTCATCCACCTCCCACCCTGGGAGTGTTCCTGTTCAGCTCAGCTAATGTGTTACACCCTGCTGTAACAGAGCCCTTGGTGGAAGGCAAAATCTAGTGAGCTCATAAGTATTTCCACTAGCACGAGGCTAACCAATGACCTCAGAAAAAATTGTCCATAATTCCCAAAGCCTAATTTGAATTTTTATGAGAAGGAGGTCAATTATTTTGCATGAACATTATTTTAAATTCATAGAACAGATGTCAAATGATTCTCTACTTTTCTACCATTCTCAAAATTACTTTTTCCCTTGTAAATCTTTTTTATAGCCTGATATTGAAAACTAAGCTGTGAGCCCCAAAAGATTCATAGTGAAACTGAATCTGAACAAATCTGCTCCATGCAGGGAAAGGTGGGTAGTTAAAGAAGGTAGTTAAAGAAGGAGCATTGTAATACATTGACACAGAGAACACTGCTCAGATTCAAAAAAATTTTTTCATTGGGCCAAGCAACACTTTAGGAGTGACTTGGAAACAATTTTAACATTCTGAAAACTTCAGATCCCCTTCCCCATATTCTGTTCATCCCACAAGCATCCAGTTGCCCCAACTGTGTGTTACCCCCATCTTTTTCTAAACTTTATAAAGAGGATGGAGGTGGGGTTCAGAGAACAGCAGGGACAAAGAACAGGAAGACACACAGATTCCAAGGGAGCTTGAGGAGGATGATGGTCTCAGGGGACACAAGCCAGGACTCAAGCCACCAAAACAAAGCCTGACCCCTTTCACAATGTTGCTAAGGGTGCCCTTATCGATAGTGAAAGTTTTGCCTTTTATCCTAAATGCACTAGATTCTTTTGGTTTAAATCTGAGAAGTTTGAATCTGAGGAATTTGTCCTTCCCGATGAGGAGCCGTCAGCAGACATTACTGTTCCTTGCAGATGTTTAAGAACATTTATCCTCGAAGATTGTCTTAGTTGAGATTTCTGTAGCCTCAAAACCAGAGTTAAACTATCAGCCTAGCTGAGTTTATTTTTTTTATTTAATTTTATTTTTTTAATTTACATCCAAGTTAGTTAACATATAGTGCAACAATGATTTCAGGAGTAGATTC